AGACTCGACATCCACGATAGTTCGATTAATCTTGCGACCCAAGGTCGAGAATCCCGAATCGAGAACTAAGATGGCGACTTCACGAAATCTTCTACGCACTCCTCTCAGCTGTCTGGCTACCGCATCGTAAGAGCAATATCAGAAAATGAACCAGCCCTTCTGGCGTAAAGTCTGTGATATTCTGTCCAGAGGGGCTTTGTCCCATTTGACTTGTGGACCCGACATCTCTCTGCCCATAAATGCAAAGAAGATTTTATAATTAGAATTTTCCCTATGGTTAAATTACGCAATCTGGTTAAAATACGTACGGTTCACGATTATAAGCTCGTAATTTTAATGTAAATTAAAAAAGGGACTTATTCTGAGCTAATACTTTATTGATAACAAGTAACTCGCTTATTTGCTGAGAAATGTGAAGTAGGGCTTGGGGAATGCAGTCGTTTACTCAATGACATTTTATTTGCGATTAAATCACAACTCTTGGAATTAACCCGTGAATTTCAACGGGCTCAAAACTGTGCACTCGCTGTTTTTGAAAGTGACTGAAAAAGATGGAGACCCATTGTTTATGTCTGCATCACACTTTGCGTTAATAGTGATGCAGCTATGATTATTTAATTCTGAGTAAACTGATGAGTCCTTTCAAATGCGCTACGCTCTTAATATTTCATGACACATTTATGCTAATAATTTTTCGCAGACAGATACACGAATGTGCTAAAGTGAGTCTTGAATTTATTCATGCCCTTGGAAGTGATATTTCAGATTCTGGCTATCTGTTTGGGATTTCCTTTGAGTCACCACAGTGAATAACAACATTACTACGACTTTTATAAACAACTGCTATGTTTGTTGTTTTTTTTTAAAATTTTGCATGAATGGCTACTTTAGCATCTGAATGCATTTAACAGACCTCGATGCATTTTATACGGTGGTTTTACGATACGCATAGGTTAGCATAATGCCAAATTGGAATTTATAATATTGACTTAGCATAAATTGCATATCACATTGAAAAATAGCTCGACACTTGCTGTATCTGTTGCAATAAATATTTCCATGAAATTGTGTTTTGTTTCTGTAAACGGCCCCAGGGAAACTTACTTTGAGGACGCGCCTCGTACTTTGATGACCGTGAATTTCTGCATGCGGTATACGAAACGGCGCTCACTCGGAATTTATTTCCAAATTTGATTTCTGTGTTATAAACTTAGAAGATCATTATTTACCATTCTCTTTGTTCATCTGCCAGTTACAAAATTAGATCGGAATTCGATTTTGACGACATTGTTCCAATAAACATACTTTCTTTGTGACAGAAAACTTTATCCTCTTGTCTTCAGAACATAACTGTCATTGCGTACAGTAAAATCCTCTTCAGAAAATTATAATCCTGAATTTATTTACTCGATTTTAAGACGCCATCTTGATAAAGAGATAGGTTTTCTGGAAAAATAACGCCATATTGATTCTCAGCCGCTAACCAAACCTAAGGCTTACCCCGATTTAAGAAACTTTAAAACGTGAAAATAGTTCCTTTTAAAGCCTAGGTAATGTGGGAATATTCAGGATATTCAACATGGTGAATTTACCATTGGATAATTGCAAAACCTCATCATGCAATTTGCTAGTAGTCTGTAGACTAATTCAGTTAATTAATACAGCTGTGTTCACAGAATTTCTGAATGTGTTCGTTACGAGTTTACAACACTAATTGATTTGATTTTAATTTATTGCTAATACAAATCCGTTTCTGAGGGAGTTGGTCACAATATGGCATCGCAGGGTTTGATGTTTTCACGGCGGTGAGTCCGAAGATGGCAGCCTTCTCGGTTGTTGTAGCTCCGTGTAGTCTGGTAGAAGTTTACCGACGTTTCATAGGTCCTTGCTGCCTCGATCATCAGGGCGATATACGTCACCTAAAAATATTTCATATGGATGTTGCAGATTCCGGTGAAGGGTAAGATTTATATATGTTTTTTTGTATTTATAACAACAGCAGTTTTAATTTTTTTAAATGTTAATTTTGATTTA